CATCCTCTAATCAGAAGCAGTATGGCTGCTCCAAACTTGGCACCTCCCTACACATTATCTGCTATACAACCAACCCTGATGCTCCACATTACACTTCACACAGTCATCTCTAATTCATTTAATTCCACCAAATGCACACTTGCTTCTTTAGATTGCCAAATAAACAAGGAAAGAACATTTATTAGGTAATAGCTAGAAAGCTACCTTGACCCTAAACTCTATTCCAGTTATTCTGCCCTGTTGGTCCACAGCGGTCATTCCCTTTCCTTTCCTACTTACTCCCAAAGGAAAAGGTCCACTTGCCAGGTGGATAAGACATAAAAGTTCTACAGGTAGCCCACATCGCCAACAGATCAGGCCAAAACCCAGGAATTCTGTTCCTAAAAAATCTATGATCCCTCACTTGCATTTCAGACATTTACCACTTCACATGCCCTACGCAACCCCCTCCAGTCCCCACAATGAAGCCCTCTCCTTTGTCCAGTCTATACTTCTCACATCACTCTCTCAGCGACCCAAACTGAGGTGCCTCATTCTTTCCACCTCTCCAAGAGACAGGTATGCCTTGGAAGCCTGGACATCCACAGTTGGACTAGGAAGAGAAAAGCACCACCCCATCAAAGGAATGAATGTACTACACCTACAAGACACAAGAGATGTCCTGTCGGGAAGCCAACTAAGCAAAGGTGCCATTTTCTCTTCCAACTCCACCCATATAGCCTATTCCCCAAGGCTCCTTCAGACTTCCCCACCCACTTGCTTTGGCCTCCTATTCAAATCTTCCTTCTCCTAGCCAAAATAGTTGCTTCCCATTCCAAAAGCTCCACCTCTTTAGTCTTTCGGTTCTGCCTATAGTCATTTATTTGATTTATATACTGCTCCATTAGTGCAAGCACTATTCTGGGTGCCTAGCATACTCCCAACTTTTATTTTCACAGAGCCAGTAAAGACTGTGTCTGGGCTGTCCAGAACATAAAGTGTGGCTCATATAATTGACAAGCTTCTCTACACAGAACGCCCCACACATGGAAAACTAGCAGTGAAAATACTAGGGGATAATCTTTCTGCTTAACATCTAGATTACTTTGCAGATGTTGATTTTCTTGTTTCAGGTGGCAGAGGATTCACACAGATGAAGTGGTACAACTCAAACGCAGGATTTCCATTGCCCAGTCCAAACCAGACCATGCCCTCCGACCCACTTGCTCAAACTATTCCCATCATTCAAACAATAAATACCACTTTTTCCTGAGCCATCTTTAACAGAGCCTGCTCTGCACTCCCTGTAAACTAGGCCTATGGGAATGGGGCTCAAGAACAGCCCAGCCTACATCATCCCTCACCTATCCGAGGTCTCACTGTTTAGCATACGCTGCCAGGCATATGGTAGAGCTACCTAAAACAATAAAAATATTTAGAAAACCTGCTTTGTTATTTTTCAAGTTGCACTTCAACCAAGATATATGTGCTGCCTTGCGTACATAGGTATGTACATGGACTCTTTGGCCTGTAAATCCCACCAGCTCTCACCATGGCCTTTTCTGGGTGGGGCAGATGGGAGTTGTAGGCCAAAAAAAGAACCTAGAGATCCAACCATGGTCTTTGCTGGGTGGGGCAGATGGGAGTTGTAAGCCAAAAAAGAACCTAGAGGTCCAACCATGGTCTTTGCTGGGTGAGGCTGATGGGAGTTGTAGGCCACAAAAAGAATCTAGAGGTCCACAGTTTCCTACTTCTACCCTGACACAAGGAAAGGACAAGATCTATATATCTATACAAGCCATATGTGTATATATTCAACAAATATATATGCATGTCAACTTATATTATTGTTTTAAATCTGTTTTCGTGTATAATATATTGTGAGCCATCCTGAGTAGACTCCTGTAACGGTTGCTAAAACTAATTTTAGTCAACTAATATATATATTAGTTGAAGTGCAACTTAAATAAAACAAGGCTAGTTTTCCAAATATTTTGATTATAGATATATATGCACAAATCATGCGTGCGCTCACACACACACACATCCCAGAAGGCCACATATTTTTTGTCACGTTTCTTCCCCTCCTGCTTGACCTGGGTATCTAACCCTCTGGATCACGGGCCTCACCTTCAATAAAAATTCCACCACCGTGTGTGTCTGTGCATGCATACACGTGTACTTCTGTACTCTCTCTCTCTCACACACACACACAGTCAGTCTTCTCACTCACCCACCCATCCACCCACTCGCCCACTAACTTCCCTTCTCTCCCCTCCAACCCCGGCGAGGCTCTCTTGCCGTCAGGAAGGCCTCCTCTCCCAGTTTCACCTCCCTTCCCGCTCCCTCTTACTCATAGTCGCCGGTCGGCATCTCCGTCCGGGGAAGCGACGGCGGCAACGCAAGGCAAAAAATGGACGGCCTCGAGTACAGGAACCGAGTATACAGCTTCTGAGCGTGACGCAGGGCAGAGGCCGCGACCGGCGCGGTGCATTCTGGGAAACGTAGTTTCTGTCCCCGCGGTGGTTCCTCCTTGTACTGTACAGTAATAACATTCCACTCAGTCGCAGCACCGCTCCGGTGCTTGCCGGGAGGAGAAGCCTGCAACTCAGGAAGAAGCCAATTAAGTGAAATAGGCTGTGCCAATACAGATGGGGGAGGAATGCACTAGTTGACCTATTTCGGGTGTAAGAAAAATAATCTCCCTAGAAGTAGAAAACCTGAATGGCGAGGGCCTCATGAGGATGCATGACCCTGTCCTCCGATCCAACAGTTTTCTGCTGACAAAGATATATATATATTGCACGATATTTTAAGGAATCCCAACCTGCACTTGCGATCTGATTATGGTACAGTCCATTCATAATTAAAACTTTTGCAGCAATAGATTGTTGTGTGTTAGGTTTACTGTACTGTTGTGGATTTCGAGAGGCAGCTTGGAAGTGTGAGTGACAGTAAAGTCGAGGTGCAGCTCAGTGCTAATAAGGTTTATACAGCATCATGTACACTTTTAAAACAGAACCCCGATCTGCCTATGCTCAGTGCAAGGAGGAAGTGGAGAAGACGGGGAAGAGAACTATTAATGCAGGCGTGCTTTAAGTTTAGGGCTCCAAGAGAGCAGGTCCGGTGGGGAGCCCCAAAAGACCTCAGAAACAGAGGCGGTGAGCTGCAGTCTTATGCTCTGTGTCAGGACCTCCGAAGAAACTTTGGTTGAGCCTTTGGGAGCTGGATAAATGTTAATCAAAGTGTGGCTGTGGCGGTAAAAAGAATGGGCCATATCAGCTGTAAAAAAAAATTTATTTTTATTCCCTGGAAAAGAGAAATGGCATTGGCAGTTTTTTGACTTCAGGGCGTAATCCACTGTTTTCTCAAGCTTCTCTCCCTTTACCATAATGGTGTCATCACATCAACTGAACATATATATATACACACACATTTACCATAACTTGGAAGTCCTTAACGCTCAGTGGGCAAGGAACAAACCTTATTGTTGATTCCACAGGAATTACAAGCCACTTGTAACATGATGATCTTTGAGGAAATTGCCCTGTAGCAGTCCTCAATAGTCCTTCTGGAGGATAGACTGAAGCTTCTGGGGGTACAGATGTCAGCCAGCCCTGTTTTGACAGCAAACTATTGGGTGACATTTAGTGAGAAGATATGGAATATTTAAAAAAAAATCAGAGAAACTTTCCTTGGAAATTTGAAGAGGCGGTCAGTTTCAGTCTTTCTTTTTCCTGTGAAGAAGAGAGAACCAGGTAGTAATTTAAGAAGAAGAGATTGTCAGAATAATTTGTGATCCCATTGTTTACAGTTCTATATGCAGGAAGCCAGTGTGGTATGTAGTGCAGTGGTTCCCAACCTTGGGACTCCAGATGTTCTTGGACTACAACTCCCAGAAGCCTTCACCACCATCTTTGCTGGCCAGGATTTCTGGGAGGTGAAATCCACAAACATCTGGAGGCCCAAGTTTGGGACCACTGGTAGAGTGACAGACTACGACTCAGGAGTGGGTTCAGATCTCCACTCAGCCATGGAATCTCACTAGGTATGTGGAACTGGTAAAGCTATTCCATAAAATATCCCACTGACCCTAAAAGC